AGCCTCACCCAAGCCTGTCTGGCTTCTTCTGGGAAAGGTGATATGCCAGCAGAAGTTGTCAAAAAAGGAAATGAAGCAGACAAAAATTGATACTCTAGGCATCAACGAGCTTGGGCAGGCTAGCATTGACCACTTTGAATAAGACAATCGTGTGGTCTACTATACTGGAATGAAAATTGAGGATGAATGGTGATGTATTCATAATAAAAAAGATAATTTCAAGATCTATCTTGAAGTGCAGTGCTGTGAGGGATAAGATACTATCTATACATGTATAGAAACACCTGTTAAACATGTATAGGAACACCTGTTAAAACAACTAGTATTCAAATATATGCACCAACAACTAAGACCAAAGATGAAGTCTCTGAGGATTTGTGCCACTTCTGCAATCTGAAATTGATTATGTAATCAAGATTCATTAAGAACCTGCTGTCTGGAATGCGAAATCCAGAACAAAGAAGAAGGAATGGTAGTCAGAAAGTATAGGCTTGGGGATCTAAAAGAAGCTGGAGATAGAATAATTGATTTTTATACAGTCAATGGGTTATTCATTGCACATGCCTTTTTAAGAAACATAAATGGTGACTATATACATGGACCGTACCTGATGGACTGCAGAGGAAACAGATTGATTACATTTGTAGAAAGAATTTTTGGAGAAAGTATTATCAGAAATCAAAATTAGGTCAAGTGTTAATTGTGGAATAGACCATCAGTTGCTCATGCGCAAGTTCAAATTGAAGCTGAAGAAAGTGAAAACAAATCTGTAAAAAAACAAAAAATCTTGAAAATTGTAAATTTCACTTGAAAATGAAGACGTTCTCATATGTTCAATGCAATCTCAATCCTGATACTAAATTCATGTTTTCAAGGAGATTGAAAGGGGAATTGTCGAGTTTATTTGGAAAGGCAGGAGACCCTGAATAAGCAAAACACTTCTGAGAAACAAAAATTAAGTGGGAGGTATAGCACTTCCTGACCCCTGACCTCAAAACACAGTGGTAGTAACGAAAGTAGCATGGTACTGGTACAATGACAGCATATAGAACAATGGAACAGAATTGAGAACCCAGAAATAGACCTAGCTATCTATGGTCAACTGATATTCTACAAGGAAATCAAACTTTTCAAATGGGGAAATGACAACCTCTTCAACAAATGGTGCTGGCAAAACTGGATTGCTGCCTGTAGAAAGCTGAAACAGGTTCCACATCTCACACTATATATGAAAATCAACTCAAAGTGGATCAGAGCTGGGAGTAAAGCCCCAAACCATAAAGTTCATAAGAGACATACTTGGTTCAAGCTTAGAAGGCCTAGTCAACAGTATAAAGAGACTGACAAATACAGCCAGAAATGCACAATCTGAAGAGGATAAAATTGATGAATGGGACCTTCTAAAGATTAAATCCCTGTGCACATCAAAAACTTTTCCCAACAGGATGAAAAGAAAACCTAACAACTAGGAACAAACATTTGACAATACCACTCAGACAAGAGTCTCATAATGAAAGTTTACAGAATACTCCTGGGCCTCCACAAGAAAAAAGACTGATGACCCAATTACAAAATGTGCAAAAGACATGAAAAGAATTTTTACAGGGGAAGATATTCAAATGGCCGACAGACATATGAAGAAATCCTCCAAATCATTGGCAAAAAGAGAGATGCAAATCAAAACCACAATGAGATACCATCTCACTCCAGTAGCAGTGGCAGAGTTTAACAGGACAGCAAATAATAAATGTTGGTGAGGATGTAGCAAAATAGAAACTCTTATACATTGTTGGTGGGATTGTATAGAGGGACAACCACTCTGGAAGGCAGTTTGGTGCTTCCTCAAAAAGCTGAACATTGACATTTCATATGACCCAGTTATACCATTGCTTGGAATGTACCCCAAGAAAATGAGAACTGATGCACAAATAAAGACGTGTACTCCAGTGTTCATAGCAGCGCTATTCACTATCATAAGAACATGGAAACAGCCCAGATTTCCAACCACAATTGAATGGATTGAGAAATTATGGTACACTCGTGATGGAATACTATACAGCACACAGGAGCAATGATTTTGTAAATTACTACCTAATTTAGGAGGGACTGGAGAGTTTTATGCTGAGTGAACGATCTCAGTGCCATAAGGACAAATACTGTATAAAAATTATTATTGTAGAAGAGGGCAGAGGGTGGAAGCAGAGTGGTAAGGATGTATGGGGAGGGAGGATTAATCATGGAGTCACACAGTTTGATGGGTGAGGAGGGAAATGGGAAGGGTCTGGTATGACAAACAATGTATTCTAATTTTGTAAATAAACTAGTATAAAAAGTAATGTAAAATAGAATATATATGAATGTATAAAACAATGTATATGGATGAAACATACTGTAAAGGTCTTATTATATAAAAATCAATTAAAATATTAATAAACAAATGACTTTGAGGCATGGAACACCAATGATTAAAGACCAGTTGAGTTGTGGATTGACATGAAGGATATCAACATGAGCAATGATTTTGTAACTTACTGCCAATCTTGGGAGGCATCATTATTCTGAGTGAACTAACTCAATCCCAGAAAGATAAATACTGTATAAAACCATTATTGTAGAATGAATATGAGGACACAAGGCCACGTTTCGGGGATTGGGGGGAGGCTGTTGGAAATAGAGGGATGTGAATAGGTTGGGGAGGGGAGGGCATTAATCATAGGGTTGCACACTTCAACGCGTGGGTGGGGTGAAGTAAATGGGAAGGATCTTTTGTGAAAAACAATGTACAAACTTTGTAAGTAAATCAGAATTTTTTAAAAAGGGTATCAACCATGAAGAAAGTAAAAGGTCATTACAAAGACAGAGGCAAAAGAACAGACCAACATGAATGTCACAAGAGACTTTGAGTGCCATCAGGCTGACATAGGGTGACTCAAGTGACCCTAGGAACAATGACTGTGAACCCTACACAGCCTCACCATCTCTGACACACCTGAACACATTGCCACAGTCATTGTGTCAGTCCATCTATTCCAGGTCTTCCTCCCCTCTGCTGGCCCTCTATCCTTCCAAGCATGATGTCCTTTTCTAAGAACTCGTCCCTCCTGGTAACATGCCCAAAACCTAAAAATCCTTGCCTCCATGGAGCAGCCTAGTTTCCCCTTCTTGAGGACAGTTATTTCTTCTCCTGACAGTCCATGTTATGTTCAATACTCTTCTCTAGGACCACAACTCAAGGGCATCGATTCTTCTTCTGTCATCCCTAGTCATTGTCCAGTTTTCAGACACCTAGCAAGCAATTGAGAAGACCAGGGTCTGGATTAGGTGTACCTTAGTCTCTGCCTTACGCTATTGCTCTTTGTACTTTGGAGAGTTCCTGTATCCCTGCCTAGTAAATACCGTTTAACTCTTTCTCTTTGACCTATATTGCTGTCCTTACTTGACATGGAAATAAGAAATGATGAGGTATGGGATGCGATTGTGGAAACCTTTAGCAGGCCCCAAAAAGGAAGTTCAAACTCTGGTCATCCCGAGTATGGTCATTGCACTTATTTTGAATAATGTCAATCTCATAGCATGAATGGTCTCTTTTAAAGAATCCTATCTCATTGAAGCTCTCTGAAGGAGCCTTTGACCAAATTCAAAATTCTTTCCTGTCTGCAGGACATTTTATCTTTGTAATATTAAATTTGGACATTTGATGGTCGTGTGTGTGTGTGTGTGTACCGTCAAATCGGATCTGACTGGTACAGGAGGAGATTGCCCCTTCTTCTCCAGCAGAGCGACTAGTGGATTTGAACCGGAGGTCCTTTTTAATATAATGAGGGAGCACATGCTTGTATTTTGTTAGTTTCCATCAAGTGGAATCCTGGCTGACTCATGGTGATTCCATGCAGGTGACCCAAGTGGCTGATTATTTTTTAGCAGTAGGTCACCAAGCATTTCTTCCAATTTTTAGTCTGGAAGTGTCATTGAAATTTGTTTAGCATCATCCTAACACGGAAACAACCTCTGCTGGAAGGATATTGGCTGCACTTGGGGTTCCAGGATGAATCCAACCTAGATCTCTTGCATAAAGCCCAGAATCTACCCCTGAACCACTACTTGTCTCCATAGCCTTTGATACTATTTGAGTTTTTCTTTCTTTTTTTTTGGGGGGGGGGACGGGGGTCATATCTTGTCTCTCCTCTCCATAGTCTTTGATACTGTTTGATTTTGTATTTCTTTCTTTGGGATGGTATTTCTTGGTCTCCTGGAAATAGTAAGAACAACGGAATAACAAGTATACAGTTATTAAATGCCTTTTTAGATTAAGATTTCCTTTCATTTGCTTTAATAGCATTGTTTATTGTGGACTATGCTTTGAGACAAAACAGCAGAGCAAACAGTGTGAGCGTGGATGAGAGTAGAATAGGCTTGTGTATCACGCACCATGTCCCCTTTTCCCTTTGGGCTAATTGATTAGTCCTCCTGAGTATTTGCTGTGACTTTGTCTTGAGCTCCCAGTGACTCTGCGTGGTGTCATATGCCTTAAATCTTTATGAGGACTTGTTCAGAAATAAAGACCAGATTGATTGCCTTTACACTTGTAGCTGCCTTCCTTGCTCTTTACATAATGTAGTCTGATGACCAGTCAAGGAATGTCATTGAATTTTAAATTTCTGAGGAGGGGGAGGAAAAAAAAGTCTCACACAGAAGTGTTCTGTCAATGAATGTGATAGACCCTTTTGTTGCTTAAAGACAGTTCTCCTACTATATCCCTGAAGTGCTGAGGGACTGTGTTACAGATTTCACTGGCAGTGGGCTCTGCCTTGAAAACATTAGTAGTTTAATAAATTTAGAAGTTATTTAATTGTTGAATTGGCAGGATGAGATAAAGCAATTAAACATGTTGTTCATTGTATTTCTGGGTGGGGTGGCAGAGGGAAATGGAATACTGATTTTTTTTCCCCTTTATGGCAACCTAACACTGAGCTTGTTTTGTTATCACTCTTGTTTTCCAGGCATTAAGCGTAACTGAAACCCTGATTAAACCCTTGGAAAAATTCAGAAAAGAGCAACTCGGTGCTGTAAAGGTTTGTGTCTAATTTGAGTACACTCGTAAACAGAAAATGTGGATGTCTTTTCTGCTTCTCTGCACACTGAGTATGCATTTGGCAGCCTTGAAGGAGGTGCTGGAAGGAACCATCTGTTGTTTCATGTTTTCAGTGTGCCTTTCCCCCCTCTGGGAGATATGAAATGTAAAACAAACAAAAACACCTGGGCAAGGTAATAAACCCTCAAGTAATTGTCATTAGCTACACCTTACCACACAAAGTTTTAAAAATTATCTTTAACCAAGCAGTTATTGTTGTTGTTATGTGCCGTCAAGTCACTTGTGACTCATAGTGACCCCAATGTACAAGAGCCCTAAGCCCTGCTCTATCTTGTGCCAACCTCACTGTCTCTGACATACTTGCTCCCATATTGACCTTAGGCATGGTGGTGGAAGCATCTGGCTGCTAACAGGAAGGCCATTGGTTTGGACCTACCAGCCATGGAGAAAGAGGAAGCAATCCATGTCCATAAAGATTGAAACTCTATTGGATAGTTCTATTCTGCCCTATCTAGAGGGCACCTAACACTACCACCACCACCAATGACAACAATTTGCCTGTAGATTCCTGAGGAGTGCTGTTCAGCTAGTGGCACTGGGAATTTTATTTGATCTCCTGGTAGGAAATGTAGTTATTTTCATGGACTCCTCAGGTTTATGATGAATGACAGCATTATACGCCATTCAAAATGAAAATGATTCTCCACCACGATGCTGCTGGAACTTGAAGGAGAATATTAGCTTACTGGGGGTGTGTGATTTCCTTTAACAAAAATTTACTGGGCATGTTTTAGGTGCCCGAGTGATGGTAGTTGCTAGAGATTTGAAGATGCCTGGATTCAGGGTATCCTGGGTTTAGCCAGGGTTGTTGGGAACAATACAGTGACTTGGCCACTGGGAGCTGGGGATGTTTTTAGGAAACATTTGAGCTGTGAATTATTCCTAGAAGAATAATTTCCACAGATCTCTCTTAAATTTTGTGTGTACTTGAGGAAGAAAAATACTTGGGTGTTGACTGGTTTTGGTGTAGCAAATTTTTTATAATAAAAACAAGACTTTTCTTAAAAGAAGAGAATGACAATTTTAGGTAGACAGTCCTTTTTCTATTGGTATTTACCACCTCACCCACCAAGTGGCTGTGGGTCCAAACTTTCTTTCTTATTTTCCTGAATAATTAAAATTCTCTTACAACCTCTGTGACAGATGGGCTCAAAGAGGCCAGGGTTTTTGTTGCTGTTTTCATGATCAGTCTTTTTGAAGTGACTTGTTAAAATATCAAGATAGTCCCTTTTGACTTTTATTTTTAGTTTTGAAGTGCCATATTTTGAGGTTCAGGCCCTATAGACAGTGGAAGTTCAATGGGCTACGTCCTCTGAGATGATTTTCCGCCCTCTGCAGAGAGCTCTGGTGGCCTAGGGAGTCAGGAGCTGCACTGCTAACCCAAAGTCATACAATTAGAATCCACCAACTGCTTGGAGAGACAAGATTGATAGTCTCCTGCTGTGTGTTTTTATGGTCTTTGAAAACCCACAGGAGGGTCAACGGTGAGATTGTCTCCCCTGGCTCTGTGGTAGGACCCCCAGGACTGCTGGCAGCTCTGTGTGCTTGGACAAATCTTTAGGCTTTGCTATTTTTTCTGTACAGGCACACCTTGGAGATATTATATGTGTAGAAATGGAATATTGCATTTAGGAGGGTAACATGAACTTTGTGGTTTTACACTGCATGTAAGAGCGAGCTCTGGATGACCTAGTGGTAAGATGTTATGCTGTCAAAAGCACACTGTTTGAATCCATCAGCTGCTCCCCCAGAGAGAGATGAATAGTCTCTTTCCATGCAATTTACTGCCTCTGAAAGCCTGTTGGAGGGCCAGTCATGAGTTGATTTCAAATCTACAGTATATAACAAGTGTATACATAAGTTATGCTTATGCTATACTGTATTATACTCTAATGCACTCTCAGAAGTGCAATAACGTGATGACAAGGTTTGAAATATTGTGAGAATCACCACAATGTGACAAGAGACTTGCAGTAAATACATGCTATTGGAAACATAGCACTGATAGATCTGCTTGGAGCAGAGTGGCAGCAGGCTTTTTCAGTTTGCAAAATCAAAACACAAACCTGTATATCTGTGAAGCACAATAAAGCAAAGTACGATAAAATGAAGGGTGCAGTGAAGGGCCTGGGCATTGCATCCCTCTCCCTTATAATTGTGTGATTCTTTTTTCTGTAACCGCATCTCCTTGTACTGTTGTAATACTTTTACATTTTCATTTTTTCTCCTTTCAAATGTCATGGATAGCTACTTAATCTAAATAGTGTTCATTTTTCTTTTTTCAATGGGTAGGTGAGGGGGGTAAAGATTACATTATAGAAATGGCATTTTTTATTTGCCCTCCACCCTACTGGATCTTAAGTTTCTGACCATGAATATCTATTGGCCATTCATTCAAACTTGCCAAGCCTCTGAGGTATCTTGAACACATAGGTAATCTGAATGATTACATACTGTAAAACTTATTAAAAACTCATTGCTAACCCCCGTCCCCCAAAACCTATAAACCAAACAACCAACCAAAGACCCCATCTCATTGCTCTTGAGCAGTGGATTTTCTGAGGCTGTAAGCAGCTCTGGAGGAGATTGTCCACCTTTCTCCCAAAGCTCCACTTGTTAATTTGAACCTCTGGACAGGTTCCATCTTTGGGTTAGCACAGCAACCCAGTACAGACTACAACCACAGCTGTGTCTTATGTAGTCGAAAAGGAAACTGTCATATTAAATAGAGACGTTATTTTAATAGTTTAGCCCTTGTCTTTAGCTGTCAATTTCTGTCCTGAAATTTCTTCCTTCTTTGCTCTTTCAACTTCAGTTTTATGATTACACTAAAAAAAACAAATCTCTCTTACATTCTTGTTCAGTATGTTTGCTGTCACAACTATTAATATTACAATTCTTGTAGGCCACACAGATATTTTTTTTCTGCTAGTTTTGTATATTGTAATTTATAGCAGAGAACAGTAGTTCTCTACATTACATAGAGGTATCTATATATCTATCTCTTCCAGTAGGTTGTCAAGTATATGAGGGAAGACTGTTGCTTATTTCTTTGTCTTTTGCTAGCCTTATGTCTAAGATTCATAACCCAGAATCTGTTAACTAGTAGTTCTAGAAGAAAACCAGGTGATTATTGTTTGATGTCACTCTTTTAGTTCATAGCTGTCCAATGTAAAAAAGCTCAAAATTTGTCTTTTTAGTATTTTCTGCCAATGGGAAACATCATAATAGATGGAGAAAGATTGAAACTGTTCACAACTTCATCTTACTTTGACTGACAGCATCCTTGGTACCACAGTTAGAAGATCGGGAGATGTGTTGCATTGGGGAAGTCTGCTAGTATGGACCTCCCCAAATTACTGAGGAGCAGTGATAGCAGTTTAAAGACTAAGGAGCAGCTGGTTCAGGCCATGGTTCTCCAGTCACTTGCTATGCATCTGAGAACTGGACAGTGAATAAAGATGACAGAAGAAGAATTGAATTGTGGTTTTGGAGAAGAGGGCTGAATATCCCATGGACTGCCAAAAGAACAAACAGACGTGTCTTAGAGAAAGTACACCAAGATGATGATGCTTCATCTCACTTACTTAGGGCATATTGCTAGGTGAGGCTATTCCTTGGAGAAGAACAGCGATTGTGCTTACAAAGGTGGAGGATCAGCAGAAGAAAGGAAGACCCTCAACCAGATATGCAGCAGTGACTGCAGTAGTGGGCTCAAGTGTGTCAGAGGTTTTGAGGATGGCACAGGACAGGGTTTAGATCGGTTATTCATAGCATTGCTATGAGTCATATGGCTCCTGGCAACAAGAACAACAACATTTGAGGTTCCTAAACATTCAGTCATATTTGAACACTGTTGTTGTTGTTATTAAGTGCTGTCAAGTTGTAGACGACTCATAGCGACCCTATGAATGAAAGACCTGAACACTTGTATAACTTCCATCATTTCTCCAAGTTCATAGGGTTTTAGGAGGTAAGCTATTTTGGAAGTGGTTGCCACTCATGCTTCCAAGCTTGTTTTAATCTGGAAGCGCCACCAAACACTGTTCACCACTGGTAACTATTATCTCATTTGACACATTAGTGTCACAGTGTTCAGCTTCACAGTAACCATGAGTTACCTCTGTATAGACATGTACAGACCAGGGCTATACCACTTAGAAGAATGCTGACCAAAAACTATTAAAACCATTTGAACACTACTACCATGCAAAGGCTTTTGACTGTGTAGATCGCAACAAGCTATGCTGACTCTGCGAAGAATGGGAATCCCAGAGCATTTGATTGTGCGAATGCGAAACTTACACTTGGACTAAGAAGCAGTCGTCAGAACAGAGCAAGGAGACACTGGATGGTTCAAAATTAAGAAAGGGGTCCATCAGGGACGTATTTTGTCTCCATACCTTTTCAATTTGTATTCAGAACAGATCATCTGACACTGGGCTGTACTAGGAGGAATGTGGCATCAGGATTGGTGGAAGAGTCATCAACAATCTGTGTTATGCAGATGACACAACCCTGCTTGCTGAAACTGAGGAGGACATGAAGTGCTTGCTGCAGAAGTTCAAGGACTGCAGTCTTCAATATGGATTGAAGCTCAATATCAAGAAAACAAAGATTCTCAAAACGAGGCCAATTGGCAGCATCAGTGTGGATGGTGAAGAGATTGAGATAGTTAACGGTTTTCGTTAACTTGGTTCCACAGTCAACAGTCTTGGTAACAGCAGCCACGAAATCAGGAGATGAATTGCTTTGGGAAAGTGAGCTGTGAGGGACCTCTCAAGAGTACTGAAGAGCAACAACAACAGGCTGGAGACTAAGGTGCGCCTGATCCAGGTATAGTCTTTGCAATAACGTGCTATACATCAGAAAGTTGGACAGTGAATAGGGATGATAGAGAATTGATGCCTTTGAGCTGTG